GCTGTCCTGGGGATGCAGTCAGGGAGAAGAGGCCTTTCTCTCACATTCCATAAGCCCCCTGATGTCCTGGAGAGACGTGCCAGGACACATTTTATCCAGACAGGGATTTGGATGGAGCTCTCAGACGTGCAGGTAGAACTCTGGAGGCAAACAAGTGGTGCTGGTTCTGTGGGGATGTTGAAAAACCCTGAAACCACTTATCAACATGAGAGGCACCCAGAGCCCCTTCCAATCAGCAGGAGAACCTCACACTGCAGTTACTTTCTGAAATTCCTGCTTTTTTTTGAGCACATTTTGCATCACCAAGTCCCCCCCCTCCACTCCCCTGTGAACCTCTGTCCAGGCTGCACTGAGAGGAGGATGCTCTGCACTTGTCTGGCCTTTGACAGCTGCACAAAAGCACCACCCCCAAAGACAAGGGGCTCATTTCCATCCCCTCCCACTTCTTAAAAATCATATTGCCTGCACAAACGAACCAGTGTTCCTGTGGCTGCAGGATGCAGCTCCCAGTCTCACACACACACACAGAGGTTACAGACAGGAAAAAAAAAAACCTTACAAAAAGAATCCTGTCCACACCAAAAACCCCAATGCTGAATGAGCCGTGCCGTGCCACAGTTTGAACTTTGTTTTATGACTAATCTGGAGCCAAAGGGAGCTCACCTGAGGCCCTGCTGCAGTTTAAATGGCCTCTCACAAGCACAGTCAGTTGTGCCCAGGAAACAGGAGCAGAGAGCTCCCTTGGCACAGGGAACAGGTGCCCATTGACACACGGAAGGACAGTGCAGTGAAACAAAACCGAGGGGCAATTGTTCAGAAAATAACCCTGCTTTGGGTGCCTGAGCATTCCCAGTGCAGCTCCAGCCACCCCAGTTTGGGGCTGCACCTCCTCCCCGTTGGGGTTTTTAATGTTTCCCTGCCGTTTCCTCCATCGCAGCCACGGGCACACTGAGCCACATCAGGCCTGTTTTGGCAAAAAAATCTCTTTGTAAAGGCAGCACCTGCTGCTGGGACCTTCAAATGGAAAGAGAAGCAGCATATCTGGAATCTCAGTCGCCAGAAATGACACGAAACAGAGCCCTGAGATGCCTTGAAACTCGTGCTCCTGCATTTTTTTAACACCATTCCACATTCTTGGGGCTTTCTCATTCATTTTACGGCT